TTTTGGGCAGTGCATCATCCTTTATCCTCTATTTTATATTGCCACTATCAGAATTTGAGGTTTTTATGATGTCATAACTGTGCATTATCACGTGATAATGGGCAGTGCATCATCCTTTATCCTCTATTATATATTGCCACTATCAGAATTTGAGGTTTTTATGATGTCATAGCTGTGCATTATCACATGATAATGGGCAGTGTATCATCCTTTATCCTCTATTTTATATATCATCACTTTAGTGAATTAGAGTTTTTTTTGACATCATAGCTGTAAATTTATCACACGCTAATGTAAATCGGCAAGTAAACTCATTTCAACAAAATTTTTTTATTCTGATGGTGGGGATTTATAATAATAATAATGAATACCTAACAGCGTCATATTTAAAGATGGGTCCAAGCACAATAATTTGCCTAGCTTCACCTCACACATTATCTCACTATAGGCCGTTCACCTGATCCAATACTGTATGTGCGATTCATTATTGTTTAAGATATACACCTGCAATTCATTGGAAAGTGAATTCAAAATTGTTTTTCCCAAACACCAAACTTTGAAGTCACATGATTTAGAAATAGAACCACATACCTGAGAAAATGGTCATCCAATACATGGCAACTATAGCATGACTCCATGCACTGGCAACTATAGCATATGACTCCATGCACTGGCAACTATAGCATATGACTCCATGCACTGGCAACTATAGCATGACTCCATGCACTGGCAACTATAGCATGACTCCATGCACTGGCAACTATAGCATGACTCCATGCACTGGCAACTATAGCATATGACTCCATGCACTGGCAACTATAGCATATGACTCCATGCACTGGCAACTATAGCATATGACTCCATGCACTGGCAACTATAGCATATGACTCCATGCACTGGCAACTATAGCATATGACTCCATGCACTGGCAACTATAGCATGACTCCATGCACTGGCAACTATAGCATGACTCCATGCACTGGCAACTATAGCATGACTCCATGCACTGGCAACTATAGCATATGACTCCATGCACTGGCAACTATAGCATGACTCCATGCACTGGCAACTATAGCATGACTCCATGCACTGGCAACTATAGCATATGACTCCATGCACTGGCAACTATAGCATGACTCCATGCACTGGCAACTATAGCATGACTCCATGCACTGGCAACTATAGCATATGACTCCATGCACTGGCAACTATAGCATGACTCCATGCACTGGCAACTATAGCATGACTCCATGCACTGGCAACTATAGCATGACTCCATGCACTGGCAACTATAGCATATGACTCCATGCACTGGCAACTATAGCATATGACTCCATGCACTGGCAACTATAGCATATGACTCCATGCACTGGCAACTATAGCATATGACTCCATGCACTGGCAACTATAGCATGACTCCATGCACAGTCAGCTGGCTTACACATGATAGCTGTTAAACATGTGGCCTTGATATTTTTAAAGAAAGTGCTTTGGGTGTACCTATATCAGATTTACTCATTTCATGACGATAACTTCAATTCTCTAATTTTATAGAAAACAGCCAGTGTTAGTGCTTTGGTATTTTATATTTT